GGCCGGGCTCTAGCGGGGCACCTTCAAGATGCTCTGCGGCCTTATGTGTGCGACTACATTGGCACACTTCCGCAAATGGCGTACCTGCCAGGGCGCACAACGGGAGACGCCATACGACGAGTCCTCAAACACTGTTCGGATGTCTTCCAGTCACAGCAACGTCAGAAATACGACATTCAAGCAAGGAAACGCCTTGGCTCCTCCTTTTCTGCTACCTCTCGCCCGCCCCAGGCGGGGGGAATACAGCTGTCACTTGACCTGACGCAAGCGTTTGACAGATTAGGTTGGGTTTTAATTCACGACGCCATGCTTGATGCTCAGATTCCTCTGGAACTCCGTGGACAAGTACTTGACTTTTATCGCCGGATTGGGTACAGGTTGCAACAAGGTGACGCCTGTGCTGTGATATCCGCGCGTAGAGGAGTTAAACAGGGCTGTAGAGTGGCCCCACTGCTCTGGAGTCTCTGTACCGGCTTACTGTTCCGGAGGCTGGCGGCTCGCACGAGTACAGATTGGTTGAGGCAGGTACTCAATGCGTTCGCAGACGATCTCCATGTGGGGCAGATCGTTCACACGAGCGCCCAACTTGAACAGGCCATGCTTCGCATTGGGCACCTGCTAGACATCCTTACTGAAGCACGACTCCAGGTGAACTCGGCCAAATCCGCAGCCCTGATCTCCATTCCGCAAAGCTTTGCCAGGCTCTGTAAGCGTCGATGCTACGTCCAGGACAAGGAGGGTTTGCGCCTAAGGATACGTACCCCGGGTGAAAGGGTATTTACGATCCCGATTGTGGATAAACACCCCTACCTGGGAGTTGTTATTGCATACGGAGGTGCGGCCAGACTCACAGTCCAGCATCGATCTCAGCTCGCCTGGGCAGCCTGGACCCGTTTGCGTCCCCTCCTCACCGGAGCACAGGCACCAGCTCTTCAACTTCGCCTCCGTCTGTGGAGAGCCTGCATCCCCCCGATCCTCCTGTACGGCTTGGATTGCATGCCGCTCTCGGGCAAGCTCCTTCATGAGGTGCAACGCCTGCTCACGCGACAGCTCCGCGCAGTCGCGCGCTCCCAGGCACACATCACGCATGAGACCACGGCAGCGCTTCATGCCAGACTCCGAGTGCCCTTTGTTGCCGATATCCTTTCTCGAGCGGTGGGCAAAGTCTTGACTCGTGCTTCCACCGCACCTTCCAAGGATACTCCGGGGTACTCCCCCTCAACGCTGATATGCGAGGCCTGGCTTAAGGAGACTCTCGACTCCCTCCACTGTGGTTCTGTGCCGGCTTCCGGGCCCTCATCTCAGCCCGCCGACTCGTCAACCCCTGGTATTCCCATGGACGGAGGTGATTTTCACCAATGTCGCGAATGTGGCTATCTGGCCGCTTCGTTCAGGCTATTGCGCGTTCATCTCTCAGTGGTGCATGGACAAAAGGCCAGTCACCGCTTTGATGCCAATCGGTTCTGTCGGTCCACCCATTCTACACAGGGCATGCCGACCTGTAGGCTATGCGGCCGGGCATTTCCCCGGTGGACTTCCCTCCGGACGCATATTAATGCAGGACAATGCCCGAGGCTCGATGTCGATCTTGCGGGATCCTCCACTAGACCCACGCCATCAGGACTTGCGGATGGCCGGAGCATCCAGGTTGCGGCATCCGTGCCTCTTCCCGGCGGGGAGGCATCCACTCTGTCCGCCGACCGAGCAGGTGCGGCGCCTGCTGAAGTGCCAGCCTCGCGCACACACCCGTCCCAATCTCCTTCGACACCGTGCGCTGGTCACAGGGCTCCGGCAGCCCCTGCTCCTCTCCATGATCCCATACCCGTCACCGCCACCACGCCAGATGGCCAGGATGCCCTTCGCCCTTATGCCTCTACCGCTCTGGACCGGGATTTTCCACCGGTGGACTCCACACGTGAGCAGCCCCCGCTACCTCCTCCTATGCCGTTGGATGTACCTTGTAGTCTCGACTCGGAGGCACCGCTCATTACGGATGTGGAATTCTGTTCGCGACTTAGACAGGAGGGCTGGCAAGCTCTGTTGCATGATGGGAATACTCGACGGAGGATTCGACATCACTGCCCACTCTGCCACCAGTGGGCTGCTACGCCCTCAGGCCTCAAGGTTCATCTGCAGTCGCATGATGAGTGGGTTCAGCTGTACTCGCGCACTCTTGATCAGGCTCGAGTTCTGCGCAAAGCCATGACCAAACCATGTTTATACTGTAAGGAAACTACGTTTGACCTACAGCAACATTGGCGTCGATGCTATGTCATACTCATCCTGAGCTTTCTGTCTGTGCACTTACACCGATTAGACTCCGAAGCCTCTGCCGGTGCCGTCCCGGTCTCCTCTGCCTCGGCTGATCCGTCGCCTCTCCTCTCTGTCCCTCATGACGATGGACACCAACGTGCAGGATCCCAAGGAACTTCAGGTGTTCGCGGCGTTTCTGACCAACGAGAATGGCCAGACACCAGCACCGGCTCCTCCATCTGGAGAGCCGGGGGCCCAGCCCAAGAGGCGCAGGGAGAGCGAAAATCCACCGGAGGGCACCAGTCAGGGATCAGGCTCGACAGCTTCCGCCCCGGGGATCTACCTGTCAATGCCTCAAGGATCCGGCAACCACCCGAAGGGCAAGGGCAAAAACAAGGGCAAGGGCAAAGGCGGCAAAGGAAAGGGGCAGCCTCCGCCCCGCCACCAACAAGGCGACTGGAGCAGTTCTTCGTCCGAGTGGAGCCAAGGATGGAACCAAGGATGGGGCTCGAACAGCAGCCGCTATCAGGGAGACCTAGTGATGCAGATCTCCAAGCTCCTCCTGCGACACGAGCTCCAGCTGCAGAATCTCCAGGGGGACACCAAGCTCCATCTCTATCTGAGAACGGGTGCCCAGTCATTCCTGCCCTCCCTCTTCGCAATTGCCCGCGAATGGGGCAAGTTGTATCGGGAGGAGCCTGCCAAACTGGGCATGTCGTTGAGGGAAACTCTTCTTGTGGCCCTTCTGAGGGAGATGGCCACCCGAGCCAAGCTGGCAATGAACCGCGCCGACTCGAAACAGGCCGCTCTGGATCTCAAGTGGATCAACTCGACCAACCAGTGGAGCTACATGCAATGGAACCCACACACGGCCCAGCTCGATCTTCTAGAGGAGCCGGCGCCCAGGGATCACTCGGAGATCCTGCAGGACATCGAAAGGATGATCGAGTTGGTGGATGGCGACACGGTGAAACGGTTTGCATCAGCCAAGACACTGGTGGCGGAGCCTCAGTCGGAATGGGTGGAGTTTATCCTGGAGGTGGGCCTTCGAGAGAAGGGCCACCAACTATGGGATCTCATCTTGAGATTCAACCAATGCTGTGTTCTTCATCCTCTTGGAGCCCGCATCCGCAGGGACCGTCCGGGCCTCTCCGGCCTTGCGGAGACTATCCGCAACATGTCCCATTAATCACCCGCCTTCTAGGGGCCCGTCCGACTCGCCCGCTCGGTTCTGATGGTGCTTCCTCAGACGGCGCGAGGCTCAGGGCTGCTGTTGTCTCTCCACCAGCACCACCCTCTTCTCCTGCCTTGCCCTTCCGATGCCCACGCCTCCTTCAGGTCAGCTTGCATAACGTTGATGCCACAGCGTGCTATATGAATGCCTCGCTCCTCGCCTTACTGTGGTCTACTCTTCATACCAGTGTGCCCCAACTGGGAGGTCTTGAGCCAATCCTTTCATTTCTTGAGGCGCGTCCTGAGCTGCTTTTGTTACGCTGCATGGCCTGGACCATGCTTTTGGGGTCGTGGTCCCAGCCACGACGCCAGCATGACATGCATGAGTTCCTTGTCCACCTCATGCCGAGGTTACGGCTTCCTGCCATTCAGGGGTACTGGCAACAGCGCAGGCTGGAAGAAGATGTTGGAGCTGTCGTGTGTGATACCACAACCATGGTTATACCCATCACCATGGCCCTCCCTGAGGGAACCAGGGGACTACAGCACTGCATACAGGCTTGGCACTCCGGTCACTACCGATCGGCGATTACTGGTGATCCTCCGGAACTTATCTGCTTGCATCTCTCCCGCTTTAGGCAGACTGATGGGGGTGACATCGTCAAGGATGTGCAGGCCTTACCAGACATTCGAGAGGTCATCCGTCTACCCGTCTTTCGCTCGCCTGCGGACATAACCGTGCGATGGTGCCCATACCAGGTCTGTGCTGCGTCGCTGCACTTCGGCCCGCGCGTTGAGCGGGGGCACTACCGAGCACTGCTTCGAAGCAAGGAGAAAATATGGATCACTGAAGACAATCGCGGTGCTCAACTTCTCTCCTGCACTGAGCTCTCTTCGCTCACGCCGCACATCTATCTGCTCTGGTGCGTGCTTGACTCAGGCCTGCCAGTTGCCGCTGGAAATCGGACTACACTGTGCAATTGATGTTCCTGCTTGCTCGCTGTCGCTAGCGACCGAGCATGCTTGTAGGGGGGGGGCACAAAAAGTGCGCGCTCACTGAAGCGCCGGGGCCATCTGAGCCTTGCCCTGTAGCTAGGCGAGTACGGACATCTCGCTGCGTCTGGAAGAAAATGTATATATGTATATATATATATATATATATATGCGTGTCAAGACATGCATAAGCCTGCGGGCAACCGTGTAAGCACTTATATTCTGATTCTATTGTGCTCTGACGGAGCATTAGCACTAATAGTGTAGTGGTAGTGGCGGTGTTAGTGGTAGTAGTTCTTGTTGTCGTCGTCGTAGGAGTAGGGGTACGAGTACAAAAAGTGTTGCCATGGGGCTACAAAAGCATGTTTCACTGTTATCGCTGCTATCGGCATTATTCGGGTGGCTGGCTTTGCTTGTCTTACTTTGGCTTGAAGTTTGATACTCTGTTCATGAAGTTAGTTGTTTATGACAATGGTCCTCGCAAATAAGCAGGGGTCGTTGCCCCACCCTGCCCCAACACCACCCGAAGCACCATTCCACAAACGACGCACGACCCAGCCCCACTTCAACTACTCGGGCGCCTTCTCTGCCGCTGAGAGTAGCAGCTCCTTTGCTCGGCTCAATCGGAGGAATCGGGCTTTCGCCAAGGGATCCTGTCAGCGGTGGCTTGCGGATCTCTCGGGCTCCGGCTCAGAGGCTTTGGAGCTCTGGGGCTTTCGGCTTTCATTGGGCGTTCCAGTTGTAGAGCATCCATCGCCTACTTGTACGACTGTTTGCATGCTACATACTCCAACCGCTGACCCTTGACACAATTCGTTTCGGCTTTGTCCCGGCGTGCCTTGGGATGCCGGTCTGGATGGCACCGGAGCCTTATTAATTGCACGTCTGACACCAACACCCATTGCCAAGTCCGAGAAGAAGGTTGCAGATTGCTGCGGGTTTGAGTCCAGAAGGTTTGGGTTTAACGGCTTGTGTCCTTGCTTAGGGCCCCTCCTGCGTTTGTTGCCGCAAGTGGGAACCACGTATTGTTTCATTGCTAATTTCTTTGCCCGACCGGTGCTGTTCGACCTCCCTTGCTGGATCGTCGGCAGACAGCGCCGTCCCGCAACAAAATCGAAAGGAGATTAAGTCTTGGCATAGCTGTTCTCAATCGCAGTCGTCCGATCACCAAGACGGTCCCTAAAAGGGGCTCCCGGCGCACGCCGGCGGAAAGCGCTCTCCACGGCGCTGCGCGACGCCCCCGTCGGAAGGCCGAGGAGAATCAACGCCTGTTACCAGCGGTGACAGGGAAAGGGGTATGTTCGACAAATATCGTGATGAGTGAATTAGCGGGCTTCCGACTTGAAGCCCAGAGTCCAAATTCCAGAAGCGCTAAACCGGTTGCTTGTCGCATTAAACATTGCATATCAAGGGTTCATCATCTTGACAATCGCTTTTCTTTTTTTAACTTGCACTCTGCGCTACTTATTGTCACATCTCTTGCATTAATTCATTGCTCAACGTTAAGCCTCCGACCATGGAACCGGCCTTGTAACGACCTGCGAGGTTTCCCCAACCAACAATACTTCGGCCTCTTCGGTCGGGCTACGGTTGTCGCGATAGATGATCTCTGTTTCGTCGCTACGTGGTCTTTGATCAAGCACATTCAAGAACCACAAGCCAAGGTCACCTTGAGTGTCCCCGTCAACAAGCAGTTGTATCGTTGAAACCCCTGACGGCCCAAGCGGAATTCATATGTCGAAGTGGGAGAAGGTGTCTGCGGCAGACCCCACCCGATGCGCGAGCCTCTTTCACACCGCAGGCCGCCGCCCCAGCAGCCATCGTTCAGAAGGCTCGAGGCTCGAAACGGAGAGTGAAGTGCTCAGGCTTGGAGTCGCTAACCCTTAAACTTAAGCTCATGGCAGGCAGTGCTGGGTCTTGAATGTTGTTACAGGGTTTTTCCGGCTTTAGTTCGCTTCTGAGGTTCGAGGTCTAAAGCTTTGGAGTTCAAGGGCTTTTGGGGCTCTACAGGGTCTTCGGAGGTCTTCGGATCTCGAGAGCATCACTCCGGCCCCACCCTCGTAGCAAAAGAGCAGGCAGCGCAGGGTTCGAGCCAAGAGAAGGAAGCCCTGACTGGTGCCCGGTGTTAATTAGGTTCGGGTGGGTGGATAGCACAAGTTACATTCAGCGCACATCCGACGCTGAATCATGAAGCTACGTCCCTTCAGCTTGATCACTGCTGTGTTTTCGATGATCGCGTAAAAAGGTACAGCATATCATTACTCTCACGAAGCATGACGGTTTGAATGAAAGCCCTAAACCCTGAACTTTTCGTGCCATGTTAAACATTTCTTGCGAAAATGATGTATTCCCCAACCTGCCTGCATGTAGTGACGGCTCTAGATCCCAACCAAAAACTGTAGAACAGTCATCCAACCCCAAATGCTCAGCACCTGAAGCCGGCGAATGCATGACTAAACTTGCTGTGCGAGGCGGCTGGGAGCCAGACTCTTTGGCCCAGGCCTTGGCGACCTCGGGGTCCGGGACCACGATAGAGACGAGCCTGGCCAGGCTCTTTGAGGTTGGAGTCGTTCTAGGGTTTGGGGCTTGGAGGCAGTTGACCTTACGGTTTAAGGCGTGTCGAACTCTTGTACGTCTCGCCTGCAGAAAGCAGCTGTGATTCCCAAGCTTTTGATCCACATGCAGCCCCGAAGACTGCAGAACGGTCTCGCATGTACAGGACGGAGAAGCTTCGGGTTTATGAGGTTTACGGAGGAAGCTCGTAGGATGCGACGCTGGGCGCTTTCTTTAGTTTGGGGAGCTGGGTTCCACCAATGCTCAAGGTCATAGCTGTTTTTGCTGCGTTGGGCTCAAACGGAATTTGCACTAAAGATGTCGGTCCGGTGGCAAAGCATAATCGCCTCTTGTGTAGCCTGCTGCGAGCTCCAGGCTTTTGGTGGAGCTTGCATTTATCTTCGGCCTTGCATGCAGCCTGCAGGGAACACATGCTGGAGGCCACTGAGTCTTCAGACTGTCGCCGTAGACAAAGCTCTGGGCTATGAACTTGCTTTGCACCTCAAAGGATGGTCGCATTGACGCCTCTGGAACTGCTGCGGTTCTATGTACCCGAGCAGAACTTACTATCTTGTCTTCTTTTTATCCAACCCGTGAGGCTACTGCCTGCTCGTCTCCTGCAGGATGCACCTGATGATCGCAGCTCCTGCTGCTTCTATCCTACCGAACCGACGACAGCAACATCATTGCCACCACGGCCACCCCGACAGGCGAACAACACACCGACATTAGAACCACCACCTTAGCAGCACAAAAACCACCAAGCCGGTACAGCCTCCCAAGGTTGTACCGTTTTCAGTTTGACTGCTCTGCTGCACCGCTGTATTATGTAGCAGTGACGCAAGCAGAACCACACTTGGCCTGAAATGCTGCACAAGCACGATCAGCCTGTAGAGAAGGTATGCGCTGCAGAAAAGGGTTCGAGGCCCCGGACATTGAGATTCTCCAGCTTCTCTGGCGCCACGTACTCGCCTGCAATCAAGCAGCCAGTTGAGATGTTCTGATCCGGTATGACTCAACTCATTATTCGACATTAGCTAATCATTAGTTCTCAATCAGCTTGTGAAGACCCACAAACCGGCAGCGCGCGACCAGCGCCAGAATAAAGAAGTGAGAAAGTGCTGAAACGTGCAGTTTCTCTCCGATGAAATGCAGACAACTCCGATCAAAGGTGCAATTCTGTGCTGATGCACTCGACAAGTTACGCCTTGCGATGCCTGTCCACTGGATCACCTTACACTCCCGGTGATTGTGGCCCCCGAGGCAGGACATCAGGACAACAGGTGTTCTGGCCCTTGATGTCCCTCCCATCGGATCAACATCTGACCCGCGCTGCCTCTCGACGCGGTGTATGACTACGATTGCGCCATGTCCGTTAGTTGTATTGCCCAACCATCCATTCGGGAGCCTTGTGCAAGCTTGAAGATGTTCTTCTTCCTATCGATGATCTTGAGCCTACCGTCAGGCGTCCACATCCTCAGCTGGTCGCATTTCAAGAGCCGCAAGGACAAGAGCAACTCAGAAAGTAAGTCTGCTGCCCGATGTCTCCAGAATGGAACCAGCCATCTGCATCTATCGCCTCAAAAGACAGAAAAACCACAGGCAAGGGGGCACGAAAAATACTGGGACTCCAGCCTAGGGGCGAGGGCATATGGGGTTGCTTTCTTGTTACAGTGTGGCAGCAACGGGAGCAGTAGTAGGGTCGGCCGCCTCCGCGTGCTAGGTTGTACCAGTGCTAGTAACCAGTAGTTCGCAGAAATGCGGCCAATCCCCCCCACAATGATGGAACTCACTTCCGCAACCTTTGGAAGATAAACATCTTCTCCTTAAACCTGCTGAATGCCTTGAAGCTGAAGGCCCTGGAATGTGAGCCCTTCCTTGCTTACCGACAACTCCCGCAAGCTCCTACAGAGCTACAAGGAGATGTCGTGATCGCGACGACGAGTCTGGCTAGAACTCCTCAGTACCAGTGCTACTGAGCACGCGCACACCTGCGAGCTTGACCTTGATGACAGGTTATAACGGGTACTGATGCTGCCCTTCTTGTAGCGAACAGGTCAGAAGATCGAATCAACATCATACGGAACGCATATGCTGCCGGGTACCGTGCGTTACGCTGCTAAAACACAGGTAGGAGCCTCTGCAGTCTTGTCCGGCATCTTGTAGTAACCTCCCAGTGCTACACTGCTACACACCGGGTTCAGAGGGTTTTGTAAGATCTTGGCGTCAGGATCGGGGAAATTTGGAGAGTCTCGGGATGGGGCTTGGGCATCACCCTCTTTTGCAAACCACAGCACCCATCGCTCGCACAGTGAGCTTGCATCATTTGCACGTCATGGGTGACGCAACCGGGTCGTCCTGCATGTTACACAGACTACTGCTGTCTGTGGATATATGCCACAAAGCACGGCTGCACAACCGACAAAAACAAAACATGCGGCACATGAAGCTTCCAACAAACGACCCTGTTCTTAAGACTTCTTTCGCAGATGACCGATATGACACAGGGGACTTCATCAATGAGATGATGATAACCATGATCACCATGTTGATGCAGCTGCTACAATCGCAAATGTCTGTATGTCTGAACGTGGAAGTGCCACGCGAATGTGTCTATAATACTGCCGAGTGAGTGAATGTAGTTGAGATATGTTTGCGAAGGCTGGAAGCCCTGTATCCAGCCTTGGAAGATGTTGAGGCCCTTCAGGCAGATCTCTCCGCGACCACAGCCTCGATACTGTCCGAACAGTCGCACGGTATCCAGGGGCCCGAAGTCCAGTTCGGGCGTCGGGCATTGCATATGGCGACTCCATGGAGCGGAAAACTGTAATGAAGCGAAACACACATCACACCTTGGACAGGGACAGGAACTGATGCAAATTCGCGGCTTAGAGTGGCCACGTGATTGTTACACCCCCTCCCTATCACCGGGACCCGAATCGTACATAAAGGGGGCTTCGTTCATCAGAAGTCTATTTTCCTGTACAGGAATGGTGTAACACGTCGCTGTTGGCTTTTAGCGAAAACTCTTGCAACACGAGCGAACTGTAGTGGCGTCAAAGTCCCAGTCGCAGGCAAAACCGTGTACCGTCTACTGATGTCGAACACGCCAGATTCAACTGCCAGCCGACAGCTCAGAGAAAAGCCCCCGCTTGCCAGGATGCGGACATGGGATGGTCTTGGAACCGATCTTGTGTACCTTCCAAAATTGTGGTGTGCGGATGTGCAGGGTATCGGAATTAACTCAACCAGCGTCAGGGAAAAACACTTTTGGGGGCGCACCTGGTCTGTGCGTAGATAGCCTCGGAAATCAAGGCCAAGAACATCTAGCCAATTCTGGAGCCGGGCTCCTTCTATGCTAAACTCGAAAGAAACGCAGAAGTGCAGACTTCAAAGTGGGCTGAGTCGTGAACAGGAAGCCGTCACCGTAATAACTCCATGATGTTAGCATCACAGCATGTGACCAAAGCAGGCTTGCTTCGATGCGTGCTGCTCTGTGGGAAAATGCGAGAGCTCAGAGTAGGTTGTGCATTGTGTCTCGGTTGGGTTTAAGGTAAAAGGGCTGAAGAGTTGACGGTTTGGGTTTTAGTCTCTGCACTCGCCATTGCTGATACAGCCTCTCGAAGACCAACCGATCCTTGCAATGCCGCTTTGCAGGACCTGAAACAAGTTGTCCACCGGATCGGCCCAAGCTCGGCCGCAGACCCATGTCCGGCACGTCCTCTACAGATGCGCTCAAATGCATTCAACCTAAACTATCACCCGACAGAGCGAAGCAGAAGCAGTAGCAGTAGTAGCAGTAGTTAGTACAGGTAGTCGTGATAGTAGTCGTGATAGTAGCAGTGGTAGTAGTAGCAGTACCAGTAGCAGTAGTAGCAGTAGTAGTAGTAGTAGTAGTAGTAGTAGGTTGTAGTAGTAGTAGTAGTAGTAGTAGTAGTAGTAGTAGTAGTAGTAGTAGTAGTAGTAGTAATAATAATAGTAGTAGTAGTAGTAGTGGTAGTTTTTAGTAGTAGTAGCAGTAGCAGTAGCAGTAGGAGCAGCAGTAGTAGCAGTAGTAGTAGTAGTAGTAGTTAGTGTAAGTGGTAGTGGTAGTAGTAGTGGTAGTAGTAGTGGTAGCAGCACCAGCAGCAGCAGCTGCAGCAGCAGCAGGAGCAGGAGCAGGAGGAGGAGGAGGAGGAGGAGGAGTAGTAGTAGTAGTAGTAGTAGTAATACTAGCAGTCACTGGCAATTACACAGGAAAGACCGATAAAAGCATCAGCAGCTGCCGATGACTTCGACGAAGACAACCGCTAGTACAATTTTTGCTATTCATCTAACATTGATCTGCGAGCGGCGCTAGCTATTTACTGCAATTGTTGTCTTTATTGATGGGCTTCGTACTCGATGTGTGAAGGCAACGATGATTTGTATCTACTTGCCGGTGGTCATTGTTGCTGGCATCATTATCTTGGTTTCTACATTCACGTGATGATGATGGTGATGATGGCCAAGATGATGCTGAGTATTCCGAAATCTAGTCCGAGAACCCTGAACGTGGCCGGCGAGTGGAGCCTGCTCTCGTGTCTCCACATGCCGTCACGTCTGCTCCGATGCTCTCAAGCACTGTCACTTCCAAGTTCAGAACCCCTTCTAAATATGCTCGCAACCTAAAAGACAGCCCATATCCAATTCCTTCTAGTAGAACAGGGTGGGAATTCCCCACAAGAAGACACCCCTGCGATTGGGGCTCAACCATAGGGATCATCGATATAGAGATCGGGACACCTAATTGTTTTCTAATCTCCTACATATCTATCGTAAGCTGCCGTGTCTGTTCAAACGCACAGAACAGAGATCTACCCTCATTCTGAGGAGTAGAAATCTCACGCGTAACCATAACGAAGGATAACCATCCAAACCACAGGCCGATTTTAACTGCTAAACCCGGAACCCTAGGCTTACAAAAGCCCGTCCTTTAATCGAATCTCGTTGCAGGCAGTGACCGCGCCAACGGTACCCGGCATCATGTCTTGGTCTGCCGTAATGGTGCCTGGCTTACGGCCTATAGGTACAAAACATGCTGGGGGTGTCTGCAAGCTCTGTGGGACATGAACACTTTCAGCCTCACCTGCGGAGAACCTGATCTGGGCAGCACAGACTAGCACGATCGGCTTGTAGACCAATGGAGGCTCTCGTCACAAGGTTGCGTCTTAGACCTGCAACATAGTCCCGATTATCATGTAGACTACATTGAGATCTGACTTGTTAACCCACTCCATTTCCAAAAGTCTGACAGGGCCCTACACCGCAACGCAACTCCGGACAGATTTAAGATCCAGCAATGCCAGCAATCCCTACGCCTAAGTAGCGCGGAAATCTTGTTGAATCCGAAAGCCTACTAAAACGTAGCAACATGCAGCAGCCGTGGCCTCCTGCAGCTGTCTCTGAAAGGCCGTAACCTTCCAAGACCTGGCCAGCAGCACTAAACAACATGATGTTCAGAATTTAGGATCGTTAATGTGCACATAAGGACGAGAGTATTGAGGGTTTGGAGACCGTGGCTCTAGTTGAGAATCGTGAGCTGCACAAAGCATCCGCCCACAAAGGGCTTCAGGTTTTCTCGCGGCAAGCTGCGGCCGAGCACCAATACGGGGGCTTTGCCACTCCCCTCTTCCAACCCAGGCGATTTTCCGCTGTCTTCCTCCAAACCTTCACCTGCCCCCTCGCCCCCCGCCTCAAACTTCCCCTCATATCCCACTTCCGTCTGCCAGGAAGGTGCCAGACTTCCCTCTTGTTTGGCTCTAAGGCTGTGCTGGTCTGTTGGATGTTCTCACCAGCGCGCAACGAAAACGCCAGCCTAGTTTAATTTTGGCTCTACACCTCCACACTGACCTGCTCTTACAGTACCCTCCCCCCTCCCCCGTCCCTCCCTCTCCTCCTCCTCCTCGTCCGAAGCGGATAAATGCTGAGAAGTTCAGAGACTTCAGGATTCTTCGACCGGCCGCCTCTTGAAGCAAAGACCCAAACCCTGAACTGTGCTCAGCTGGTGGACGACAGCTGTTGGATGGAGAGCGAGGATGGTAAATGTCATGATGAAGATGACGGTGATTTCGGCGGTCATGGGGAGGTGCGGTGACGATGCGAATGATGCCGATGGCTGCTTAGTCGTATGACGGATGGAAATTTCTTTCTTGCACATGACAGATATTGTGTGTTGATTGCGGCTATTGTGAGCATGAACACTTGCCTCTGCTGCCTTGACGTTCCGAAATTGCTTGTAGTGCCTGCTTTGGCTCTTCTAGCAAAGTCCAATCGAAGAGATATTCTGATCTTGACTGCCCAGCATGCCAGGCACACCGGGCAGCAGAAAACCTGCAGCGGATGCTTCTGGGAAGGCTCTTCATCTGTGCAGCAGATGTGCAAGGTTCACGAGGCTGAGAACCGACTTTCCCAATCAGGCTTCTGAGCTAGGAAGGCTTACGCAGGCAGAGGCTCGGGGCGCACGGCTAAACTCGGGTGCAAAGGCCCCAGCAATTCGAATAAAGTCCAAGACATTGTCGGCAATAGGTGCGCTCCCCGTGACGATGAGGCGGACCTTCTCGCAGCCACGTGTGTACCAGTCTGAATGGCATTGAGGTCAGACTTCGCCGCTATAGAGCAGCCACAGCAGCGAAAAGCACTGACTCATTCCAAAACTCTGCTCCACAAACGCTGAGCGACCTATAATGATCCGTGCTACCGGTTCATATGGCCTTGATGCGAATACAAGAAACCGCAAATCTGACCAATAGCATGCCATGGCTGCCTTAGAGCTAGGCCTGACACCCGAAATGCCCAAAACCTCTGACGCCACATAAACACAAACGACGCTGCAACGCCTTACATTGAGAAGATGCAGTACATACCAGGCCCTCGAAAGCCAGTGTAAGCCGTGTCCGTTCCTCAGCACTTGGAACCTGGGCACGCCGCTCGGTCCAGGCCAACCTTCTCTGCGATCTTCTTGAAAATGATCCTGGCAGGAGGCACAGACTGGCATATGTATAAAAACGACAGGCGATGACGAAGATCATGACGATAATGTCCAGAAGGATGACGTTGAACAAGTAGTAATTGTCGTCGCAGTAGTAGCAGAAGTAGTAGTAGTAGCAGTAGTAGTAGTAGCAGTAGTAGTAGTAGTAGTAGTAGTAGTAGTAGTAGTAGTAGTAGTGGTAGCAGTAGTAGTAGTAGCAGTAGCAGTAGCAGTAGCAGTAGCAGTAGCAGTAGCAGTAGTAGTAGTAGTAGTAGTAGTAGTAGTAGTAGTAGTAGTAGCAGTAGCAGTAGCAGTAGGAGTAGTAGTAGTAGTAGTAGTAGTAGTAGTAGTAGTAGTAGTAGTAGTAGTAGTAGTAGTAGTAGTAGTAGTAATTAGTAGTAGTAATTAGTAGTAGCAATTAGTAGTAGCAGTAGCAGTAGCAGTAGCAGTGGCAGTTGCTGTTGTAGTAGTGTTGTTGCTACTGCTGTTACTACTACTAATACTACGGTGACGATGGCTATCTTACTGCTGCAACTGCCACCAAGTGTTCCGGGTTTTCGTCGTCTGGCTTTGAGGTGGCAGTAGACCATGCCACAAAAGCGAAAACCTTGTGGATCAACACCTATCATCCTGAGCCTGCAAAACTCTTAAGCCTCGAATCAACACCAACAGACTAACAACGACCTCCTTAAGGTCTGCGCTTAGCACCAGCGGGCCTGTCCCAAAGGGGGTGGGTGTTCTTGCCTTGCGGAAGCATCCCCTGTCATCCATCCAGGGAGGCGAGTTGTACCAGGTAGCGCCCGGGGTCTAGGGTTCAGGGCTTAAGCTTCTTGCGCATAGTGTTGACTGTTCGAGTTGTGGGCGGAATCGAAATCGTGCAACTGCGGTCTGTAGGATTCCGGGACTTGCTGCTATTGGCTACGTAGGTTGTATGCAGGGCTTGAGGATTTAGGTTTGGTAAGTAGGGCTTTAAGCGTTCAAGCGGTTTTGGAGATTTCAAGCTTCACGGCTTCGGAGTTCAGATGCTGAAAGCTGCATGTAGCTCCGGAGAAGTCTGTATATTATCAGATACAAGTGCAAAGGGCCCTTGCTGCACCCACCTTCTTGGCGGCAAAGGCGCGCTCAAAAAGGGCCTGAAACAATGAGTGTCCGTGCTTGCATCAACTGAAGCCCAGGCTGCTTTGGGGAGTCGTTGCCACACGGCTATGTCGGCTATCTGATCCGGTCTCTGCCCACCTGCCCCGATCTTTTTGCTCAAGACTCTGAATTCCTGGAGGAAGATTTCTCACATGTCAGACGCTTTGAAATGCTCGGAATGGCGAAGCGTAAAGAACTGCAGTTGATGGAGATGCATTTGCAAAAAGCCAAGTCCATGGCGGACCGAGTGTGAGCCATGACCCAGGCAGCGCTGGATTTGAAGGCTCCGCGGCACAAATTTCCAGAGGCGATAGTAGAACATTTATGTGGCTTGATATCCTGCTTTTGGACAGCGACCCGTCCCTGATTCATCAGCCCTGAACCTTCAACTCAACAAGCAATGTCGAGTTCGAATGTTACGTGCCAGCCAAAACCAGCAAAGAATCCGTACGCCTTACTCCCTGATCCCTCAAACCGATGCATAGCGCTAAACCCGAAATTGCAGGCGGGTTCAAGCCTTCTTCAGGCCACCAGCTTCGTTTATCCCGGCGAGCAGCCTGCGACGGAACTCCAAAGCACATGGATACAACTAAACAGCCAGGCTTGCGGAGGTACTGCTTCGTGTTGATTTAGTATTCGGGGCTTCGGATCTACGGTTGCGGGTTGGGATTGAGGATTTGAGATTTGGAGTTGTAAGCCCACCGTCGGCTAATTATTCACAGGAGATGTCAAGCAAATGGGAAGCTTAAGGCAGAGTGCCCACTGAGTCCTTCTTTTCCGATCCACGTCGCAACATCCTCTGCAGCCTCGGATTTAAATAAGCAGAACTCTTCTTCTGCGGGATATCTGTGCGCATCCAGGGCCTGTTTCTGGCTGGTGAAATGGCTTGCGAGACTGGCACTTCTGACACAGCAGACTAACTAACGGTCAGTTGAACACCTAAGTACGAACCTAGAACTGAAAAGATAATCAGACCTTAACAAAAAACAAACAAACAAACCCATAGAAGCAAATCCAACGTAAAGCAAACGTCAAAGCATAGGCGGATAAATGCCTACGCAAACAAAAAATACATAAACTGTAGCTTGTAAATCCAAAACGTACCCAAACAAATAAACACACATCCGCAACTACATGTATGATATCTGTATGCATATGCATGTATGTATGTATGTATGTACGTGCGTATGCATGCATGCATGCATGCATGCCATGCATGTATGTATGTGTGTATGTATGTATGTATGTATGTGTGTACGCATGTGACAAAAGCAGAAACAGAAATAGTTAGATAGATAGGTACATAGGTAGATAGATAGACAGATAGATAGATGGACAGGTAGGTAGATTGGTACATGTAGAGAGAAAAGTGAGAGCAAGCTTGAACATATGACACGGGGCTCGTTACCAGCAGCTGGGAATACAACACGTTGTACTTGTACAACGTCAGACGGGAGTCATATGTTCCTATATTGCTAAGGAGTTACAATGTCCTCGCGATTTGACAGCATCCATTTCAAGCCATGCGCAGGTTGGACCGGGAGTCCGCAAAGCTCCGGGGCCGACACTTAGTACGAGATCTCTCGCACAATGTGCACCGAAGAAAATGCAGAGCTTCTCTGAGACGTAGGTCTCAGGGAAAGCCGCCATGCACAATTGACCTCCGAATCTGAGCTTGTCAGCAATCTTCACGTTCGAGTGTGCGCAGCCTGTGCAGAGACTACGATCATGCTCGAATGAATCCTAAAATCTGTAGTGGAGCCCAATGCATGGCACTGCCTCATGCTACGGTGACGATGTCTTCCGAGAAAACATCGAGTTTCAAAGGTTGGATACAGAAAATCCGAAGCAGAACAACTACAGAGCGTGTCTGCCGCAGTTTGGTGGCAAAGCGCCTGTACCCTCGCAAAATCGCAACCGGCCCGACATTGGCAAGCACAGCGGCGTCACCGCGAAGGAAGCTGCTGTAAACAACTACTCTGGTGGCACGTGCGGACCACACTGTGCAACGAGCTGCACCAGTTCAGTGACGTACTCACCAAAAGGCCTATGGATGTTTAGAGCTTAGGGGTTCGGGGGCCAAATGGCTACCTAGAGATGCGAGGTCTGATCTGGTGCCTTCTCGAAGCTGATGCTTGCCTGCACTAGCACTAACTGGCCTCGAGTCAATAGGAGCAACGAGGTCAGAGAGTGCATCCATGCAGTAGCAAATTAAGGGTAAAAAAGGGAGACAATTCAATTCCAGCCATGCTTCAGCCCTTGCGGCTAGGTCATCCCGAGAGTCTAATCACTGGGTTCTGACCCAGGTCTGCGACGGGCAGTCATGGACTGTTGCACCAGCCATGTAGAGACTTAGATGCAAGCGATTTCGATTTCCGGGGACTCTTGCCGTGTCAAGGTAGGGCTTGCCGTTGCGGAGTGGAGCTTGCGCATGTCTCGGGCTCGACTCCTCGCAGCGGCAAGCTTGGCATCCTTGAAAATGTGCTCTTCTTTCTGACGTGGCACATCGATGGACAGGGCCGCCAAGAGGCCCTTGCTGCGGTGCGTAGGCTTGGCAGTGATAGGGTGCATCCTCGTCTTGAGACTCAGAGACTTGCGTGCCATTTCTGGTGAATGCTCGCCGCTCAGAGCAAAGGGAATTCCTCCGTTTGCCATGCCTTTGTCCGCGGGCCCGTTCAGGCTGACAAGAACTCTAGCTGCTGAACTGGACTGCGAAATCTGCTGCCTCCTCTGAGCCCGAGCATACCGCCCCGCACATGCCAGCACACACATGCGTGGCTAGTTCTCACTCACAGAGCACTGGCAAACAATCAGCGATTATGGACATGCTGGCAATGGCAGCTGAAGCAGCAACAGCTGCTGCACCCCTGCGAGAAAACCCGCGCGCCGGCCTGTCATGTACTCGGTTCAGCAGCCGAGGCACCGATGGGAAGAAGGTCGGTCGCAAGGCCTGTGCCGAGCTTAAGGGTCACAGGTTCAGAGTCCAGCTCGCAACCGAAAGCCCGATGGCCCCAAGTGCTTCTCGCAAACATAGGTATGCTTCAGCTACCTGTCGCATCCAGCCCTGCTCCATTGAGCCCGTACCCAAGGAATGCAGGGTTCAGACTGGAGTTTAGGGATCGGGATTTCGGGAATTCCCGGATAGTTATGACATGAACCCGACAATCTAAAAGCCGTACATCACTACGTCACTCGTCCCACTTAGGACATCACAATCGCTGCACTCCAGTTTCATGCGGGTACCTTCGGTTGCCTCTTTAGAAGGAGTTGTCCGGATGAGATGTGGATACTACGCAACTATACCCATGCTTCTCGAAGCATCGCCGGGCCCTGAAGGAACAACAGTGTGAACTTCTGGAAGGGTCTCAATCTCGTGGGCCCCAAGCTCCCCTCAAACCATCAGACCATGTTTGCCTGCAGATCTTCCACGATCTTCAGAGTGTCACCCTGGTAGAAGCCGATAGATGCCCCGCCAAGTATGACACCAAACCTTGAAAGGATCTAGGATATTGAAGAGGTAGGTGTTTAGGGAAAAGCACTTCGGGTTTACAGTAGTGTGGTCTTTTGTCTTCGTTTCTTGGGGCCTCCGTTCAAGGCTTGGGGTCCAGGGCTTGGGCTTCAGAGCTCAGGGCTTGCTTTCAGGCGAGACCTGATCTGGAAGAATGTGGAGGGATAAAGGCGGTCACCATGCACTGATTTGAAGCTCGATTCTCCTCAACTTCGCCAACCCCAGACTGAGGATGACTGAGGATCCAAGGAGTGGCACTAGCATCGCATACTATCAGCCCTCGCAACAGTCGCTGCGAGTGGAGCAGCAGGTGGCAAGAAAATGGCGGTAGTCGTGATTAGAGTGATCTAAGAGAACCAAACGCTGCATCCTTGCGACCGATCGCAATATCTACTGAGTATACTAGTAAGTGCTGGAAACCTGTGAAGATTCTGAGCCTTTGGCTGCACGAGCCGCTCGAAGATGTGTGGGAGCGGCAGGTAGGACATATGAACGTCGCCATCGCCAGCTTTCAATGCATCCCTGGCGGCTTCAGGCTTAGGGCCGCTTAGGGCTCCGTAGGGTCCTAGCACCTGGGGAATGCGACGGAGTCGTCGGGGCTTGGGCGCTAGGGCGTTGGTGCCTTGCGGATTCAGCTCTCGAACCGTGGTGGATGGATCCCAAACTGAACGCGCCGCCGTGTGAGGATGCAACACTGGCACGACACAGCGCAGATACCAGACTGGCCGTCTGTCACAACTGATTGCGCTGATGGGGTTTGGACGGCCACATGGCTCGGGAGTCATATTCGATGGCACCAGAGGAACGCCCTAATGCCCCGCTTCCTCCTAAACTGCTTCTTCCATAACCTCTAAACGCAAAAGCAGTAGAACTTCATGTCCTTTGAGACCCGATCAAGAAGGCAGGCCCGCCGACCACTTGCAGCAGACCAGGCCGAACAGAGGTTCTGGTGCCTGGGCGAAGGGTCGAGGTTTCCCTCCCGAACTTCTGCTACAGATGCTTGGAGAACCGGAGCCCGATCGTACTTAGGTCCAAGGCTTCGTCTAGACTCCTGGAACCACCAACATGACTGATTGGGCTTTAGGAATTCTAGATGTTTTGGTCTGCAGGCTCGCAGCTAGTACGGATTCCTCTGAGCAAGCGGACGTCAGAAGCACCCCTTTCGGGTCACCCGTTGTACCAGAAGTGTAGCAAAAGGTCAGGATGTCCTGACAAGCGCGACACGCTTCAAATGCTGCGATCACTAGATCCAGATCTGGTTCCAGAGGCGTCCGGTTGAGCAGCAGTCCAGCCTGCTGGACGACAGCTGCTGGGACTTTAAAACCCGAAGCCCAACCTGCATAAACGATGCCGAACCAAGGCCCCCGAACCCCTAATCCTTAAATTCAAGCTAAG